TAAACTACTTTATGTCAAATGCCTTTGAAGATTTCATTTCTCCCTATTTTTTGCCAGAAAAAAATACAGTATCCAAGCATTTATAATGTGTCTATTGCAATTTCTCAGCCTTAATACAGAGCACAAAAGGTGCCATGTGCTCTAGAGCACACAGATTTTGCTACAGCACTCTTGCACCTTCAGAAGATACTTCTGCAGGACAAGCAGAAGGTTGATTTTGATTTTGAGAGGTCCAAAATTGTGGATAGGATACCTTTAACATGCAAAATGCTTGCAGAAATGCTCATATCACTTGTTTTACAAGTAGCTTAAGCCTTTGATAACAAAAATCCTTTTGAATTGCTCCAGGAAGACTCTTTTGTTCTTGCTGCCACGTTATTAACTCCTCAGGAAAATGTAAGCACTCCAATAACATGGGGAACATTCCAGTTTAGTGACATCCTCAATTTCAGGGCAGGAAATGTTTCTGTAAATGAAGCCATGATTTGTGTAGTGTATTATACATTGTTTTTCAATTGCACTACAACAGTCAAGAGACCTTATCTTTCCGTTACTGAACGGTAAGGAATCCAAACCAACCTACTCTGCCAGATATTTGATGACAAATACCTCAAAAGCTGACAGCTCTACATCCTTCTCAGTGAATCTCTCTTCAGTGTTTCATTACCAAGTTTTTTGTGATGTTGATTTTAAATCCTCCTTGTTGCAACCAAAATCCATCATTTCTCATCACATTCAGCAGGAACTTGAAAAACAAGTTATTCTTGGTAGCAGTCCTTTGTGTATTTGAAGGCTAGAACTACCCCTTCTCAGTCTTTTCATATTTAGGCTGAGCAAGTGTTGATCTCAATCTCTTCAGGTTATATTTTTTGTTAATCTACTGTAGAATTTAGCTCCAGAGAATGAACCTCTATGTAAGTGACTACCTATATCTCTATACATGGAATCCAGGTGTCTAAGATTCCAATATAGTTAACAGTCAACCAACAAGAATTTAGAAAATTATTTTATTCATCTTAAAGCAGGTATCTCCAGTGATTATTTTGCCTTCATTTTTATCAGCTATTAGAGCTTAGACATCTGCTTTGCCTGCAGATGCTTACACTGTAGCCACAAAAGCTTAGGAATCTAAACCAGATATCAAATGATCCCAATATAATTTTCATTGTTTTCCACTCAACTGGTAGACTCAAACCTCTGGGGCTGCTTCAAACCCTCACTTGTATCTCTCAACAATTGCATTCTAAGAGTTTTCCCCAAAATTAGTTATTTACACCATATATATAAGTCTACACCACATCTAATAAGTTATTTATAGCTCAGACAAACAATTCAGAAGGCTCGTGTCCTGACCTGAAAACACTAAATTAGCAGGAATTTTTCAGCCAGGGATTTTTTTTAATGGCAGATATCCCAGGCCTCAGAATTTTAGAAAAAAATAAATCTGGAGCTGGGGAGTAGTTTCAATGCTCCATCAGGCTGAAAACAATTATAGTGATACTGGCAATCCTCCTGACCTTCTCACAGGGCCAGATGCATCACGATACAAGCAGGACCATACAGCTCCATGGCTGTGTCCTTATCAGGGAATGTGGGAATGTGCTTCAGCATCTGGTGCTGATCCTGGGGCCTGTCACCTGTAAATCTTATCCCCAGATGAAGCTCTGAGGAATGTCATAACACCCTCTCTCTCCTGTGGAAGGGTTTTATGTGGAAACTGCCACCCATACAACCTGAGCAGCCTCCAGACTGCTGCCATCATTTTTTGTGCTGCAGAAATGCACAGCCCTGTACAAACACACACCAAGGGCAGAGCCTGGGCAGGCACTCACAGGCAAAACAGACTCAGCAGCAACAAACAAAGAGAGAAAATCCTTGCCAGGTCGAGGGTCCCCAGTTTGGGCTGAGATGCATATGTAAAAAACATTCCTGCATCTCCTCACTCTCCCTTTCTTGTTCTATACACACATTCCCTTGCAGACTCTGTGGCCAGTTTACCCCACTGGGACTGACCCCAGATCCTGGCAGCTGCATCTGAAATGGAAAGAAAAGCAAGCCAGTGCATGCTAACTGGCAGCATATTTCTGCAAGATGAGATTGGAAGTGACTTCAGCAACAGCTGCCAACCGAAGCATCCTTGACTGCAGATAAGGAAATTTCATTTTCATCTCTGCTTCCCTACAGACCAAAGCATTTGACTGATGTTCCTAAAAAGCAGGTCCTGCTACAGTCACCTGTGGAACAGGAAAGGGCAAGCCACACCTTGCTTCTCCAGGTTCTTCAGAGCAGATCTTTCAAACACTGTGATTTCAATTCTCAGAACTGAGGTTCGGCATCCCCTGCTTCAAGCTGAAGCTCCCCTGATGACAGGGATGGGGAGCAGAATGAAGCCCCATTATCCAAGGGGAAAATCTCAAGGACCTGGTACAGCATTAAAGACACACACAGCCCTATGGGGCTGGATGGGATCCACCCACAGATCCCGAGGGAGCTGCAGGAAGTTCCCACTGAGATATTTTCCATCATTTACCAGCAGTCCTGGCTAAATAGGGAAGTCCCAGTTGACTGGAAGTCAGAAAATATAATTCTCATTCTCAAAAAAGTCCAGAAGGAGAATCCAGGGAACTACAGATTCAGTGCCAAGGAAGGTGATGGACAAGATTGTCTTGAGTGCTATCACACAGCACACAAGGACAAATAGGGGATCAGGCTCATCCAGCAGGGGTTTAGGAAAGGGAAGTTTACCTGGACAACTTTACCTCCTTCTGTGACAAGGTGAACCACTTAGTGGGAGAGGGACAGGCTGGGAATGTCTACCTGAACTATAGTAAAGCCCTTGACACTGTCTCCCACAGCATTCTCCTGGAGAAACTGGCTTCCCACAGCATGGATGGGTGTTCTGTTCACTGGCTAAAAACCTCTTTGGATGGCCTGGCCCAGGGAGTGGTGGTGAATGAAGTTTATTTGAAACATCCTGAAATGGAAAAATAAGGTCGTTTTCAAGGGTTCCAAAGCATTTTTTAAATTATTTATTGTGGGGGTTTTCTCCTTACTTTTCACCCGGAATGTATTTATTTTGAAATGGAAACCTAGACAAGATATCTTGTCCTGCCCAGAACAAATTGTTCCCTGTGAAAGAAAGGTCAGGGCGATGGTGAAGTTACACAGGCAGTTCTTCCTGAACCTCCAGGTACAAAACCAGATACTTGATCTAACCCTCTGTCTGTGAAAATCTTCCCAGCATCAGCAACTTCCTGCACAGACAGACCTGGCTGGGACATCAGGTGTGGCAGCTGGAACTGAAAGAGGCATTGATTTCATCTGTACTGAAAAGAACTCCATGCTCCACTTGATTTTACTGCTGCTTTTGTGCAAAAATCTTTGAGACTTGTTCTCCATTATCTCCACACGTAAAAATGTATCCTGCCTTGAATTACAAATGCCAATAGTCCAGGTTTTAGAGATAACATTATTGTATCCAGGTACCAGCTTGGTGTAAAAGATGAACACTTATAACTCTATCACACCCAACTGGGACATTTCACTATTGCTCTGGCTCAACAAATATGGGGCAGTCATGGAGTTTGAATTTCATGGAAGTACTGATATTCAGAAATAAAACAGCAAAATTCTTGACCAGAGGGGAAAAGGGTTGCAAGTTTAGTCTTGACACACATGTAAACATCAAAAAGTCTGCAAACCCTTGTCAGTCTCAGATTCAGTCAGAGAGAAACAGAAAGTTTCTAACCAGGCAGACGCCTGAGAAACTGTTGAGAAGAATGTAAATAAGGTTCTTTATCTCTCTTGTTGTTCATATTGTTTATAGTTAGGTTTTACTACTGTAGGTCATTCACTGCACACCAATAGAGCGACATGTTTTCACTTCAGGACCAATAGAGTTGGTCTGCACAAAGCTCTGTATAAAAGAGCGATGCATTTTGAAATAAATCAGAGTTATACTCTCAGCCTTCTGACTCGGAGCCTCTTCATTCCCGTCCTGCCTCAACAGCGTCAAACCCTGTAATTCAAGCAGGAAGGTTTGGGGGCTCAGTGGCTTTGCAACAGAAATTCCTGCATGTTTCATGGTCACAGTTGGCTCACAGCACACCTCAGTTCTTCCACCTGAGCAAAGCAGCACTGCTGGGCTTGTGAGATCCTCCAGGGTTTATTTCACTAAGTATTGAGAGGTAATCTGAACATGGGAAAGTGACAGTTCAAGATTCGCGAGATACCAAAACCTTTTTACCAAACACAGACATGAGAGCAGGGAGAAGCTCTGATAGGAGAAAACCTACAGAGTCTTCACAAACTTTTGAAGACAACAGAATTCCTCCTGTGTGAAACCACAGCTCCAGCAGCAAATAACTGGGGCCAAACTGTTTAGAGTACCATCCCACAGAGAGCAAAGAGCTTGGGCCAGGCTGTTAAGGAGAAGGCCCTTGAGCACAGGAGTGCCCATGAGTAAATGTGCTTCTCACTGAAAAACACCTCTTACGTATAGCTCTGCTGAATTCAGAATTAAAATTGAGAATTTTTTTAAGCAGATATTTGCCTTTTCCACTGTAGCAGGAAGTCCCTGTAAGGGAAGCTGAAATATTCCTCTGTCAGGGTGCCCAAATTTTTTCTGGAGGTTGGACAGGCAAACGAGCTCAACAAAACCCAATTTCTTACACAGAAAAACTATTCTAAGTCTTTAGGTGTTGTCATAAGTTTGGAACACAATAGTAATGTCAGGTTGGTGATATTAAAATTACATTTTTGAAGAGAAAAAGCAAGGCTGAAATAGCATGTATCTTTGTCTAAGAGCTCCCTCTAGCTCATCAAATAGTGTTCAGTACCACAGAACTACTCCTTGCACCACAGAGCAATGCTGCACGTATGCAAGGTGGATTTACAGAAAAGTATTGCGGTACAGAATATACACAGTGTGAAAATTCACTTCTTGTCACTCCCATAGGATCGAGAACAACAATAAATACAAACCAGTGAGACATTAAGTCCAGTTTCCCAAGACTTTAATTTTCCTTAATGTTAAATCCAACCTGGCTTTAGAAAAGTTTTTGCCTCTTCTTGCAACTCCCTCAGAATCTTAAAATAAAAACAAAATATAAGAACCACAGCTTTCAATATTGTTTTGCCAATCTTTGTAATGCAGCTGATTTTGCTCTGCAGGTTCACCAGGAGGAGATGGGAGAATAGAAATTGCTCCATTCCCTTGAAACCACTTCAGGTGCTTGAAATACACCTGGCAGCACCTGAGTTAGTGTCTCTGGTGGTTCTACAGCACCCATTTGCCCAGCAGTAACACCCCTGCACTGCGTGTGGGGCAGCAGCAGCCATCCCACCTTCCCCCTTTCTTCTCCCTGTCCCCAGGTAGGAAGTTGGTGCCACAGAGGGGCTGCAGTGGCTGCTGGAGGGGCAGAGGAGGTGAAAAATCAAACAATTGATTTTCCAGAGGGCAAAGAAGGTCACAGCCCTGGAGATCACAGGGATGGGGCCACACTCCCCACACCCAGCACTTGCAAAGGTTGGAGCACGCTGCTGCAAATGCTGAAAGCTCAGGATGGGCTTTAATTCACTGCCAAGGACCTCAGCACAGCTTCTGCAGAAAATAAAGTACAGCTGCCCTGCACTGCCTTACTGAGCAACAGAGAAACTGGTTTCTCAGGCAGCTGCATCTGTCTGGGGGTGATGTCTGAACAGAGAGCTGGGTTTGGATATATGTCAGAGCTGGACAGAGCTGTGATAACAACTGGGAAGGGTCCAACAACGGCAGCAGGAAGCTTCCTCCTCCTTCTGCACCATGGAGCACGGACAACACCATGATGGGGAGTGACTGGGGGTCTCTTAACACCACAAATCCACATTTAGACAGTGCCAGGTGTTCCAGTCTCTGCCAGTTTTCACCCTTTGTTGAGTTTCCCCAAACAGGCACTGTTTCACAGAAGTCATCATGGTTGTTCTTCTTCTCTTATGAGCCTTGAATGAAGGACTGATAATGAAAGTAAATGGAAGTAAGGCTTGGAGTAAATGTCTTGAGACAGATCTGCTCCTGCCTCCTCCCCACCCCCCATCAGCCTCAATTCAGTATTTCTCTTTACTAGAGCAATGTAATTAGAATCACCATAAAACTTTCATTTTTAGCTTTATACAACTTTCCCTCAGAAATAAGTCCTATTTAAACAGAAGAGAGTTGGAACAGAAAAAGCTGAATTTATTAATCATCCCAAGCTGGATCAATACACTTATTTTTAGTTAATAGCTCATCCTGTTGGTGAACATGCAGAGTGCTCACACTCCAGCCTTGCTTCCAAACAAAATCCTGGTTAAATACCTACTCCCAGCCAAGGAGAGTACAGAACAACAGCCAGAGATTAACTGCAAAGAAGTTTCCTTCATCTAAACTTAATTAATATGCATCCTTATCAGGTTTTAGAAAATTGCTGAGAAATCACAATCTCTGTGCAAAAAAAAAATAGTTTCTAGAAGTAGAAAGGTCTAGGCTTTCCTATCTGGTAGAAAAAAGATAAAAAATTGCGTTCCTATATCATCTGTAATTGTCCAATAAATTGCAACTATCTGATTTTCTGTTAAAGGCCAAAAGGCAAGAATTCAAATGGAGATGTCTTCTATCACTATATTCTGTACATAAAGTAATGTTTCAATGGAATGAGGAAGTTAATTGGTTTCATGTTGCTTAGAGTACACATGGAAAAAAAAAATCAAAGAACCCAATTGCTATCTCTAATTAGAATTTCTGAGGAGCCACATCATGGAGACAGATTGTCAGCTTCTTCAGGCATTTCCTACTCATGCCAGTCAAATTTATGCACTCCATTTCCAATTAGTACTTTAATTCCCTTTCCATAGTTAACAAACTAGGGCTGGCTGATAGTTTATTTTAATTTACACAGTCACAGAGATCTACCAATGAGCGTCTGGGCAACTGGGTAAACCACTGTGTTGCAGTGAGGAAAAAACACTACTACATGGAGTATTTCTATTATGAATTTAAACCCATTACAATTGTCATTTAGGACAATTCTAGAGGAGAAAAGAAGTAGGCAAAAAATAGCAAAATTATTTTGAAAAAAATATGGCTGTTGTAAGACATTCAAATACATGAGAAAATTTTCATGAAATGTCTCTGCTTTACTCACAGGGTCTTCTGGACTGGGCTGGTTCTGATTATTCAGTATAGTCTCCTTTTACTGCATCAAATCCACACAGGAGGCTGTCAAGTCAAGTACCCCAGAAGAGGAAATTCATCTATGGAAGATGTTCCTACCCATTGCAGGTGGCTTGGACTAAATGACCTTTAAAAGTGCCAACCCAAATCATTCAGGGATGCTACATTCAGGTGTCCTTCCTGAGTACATAACCATGAAAGAGTCAAAATTATTAAAAATCAAGAAATTATAAACTATCTTACACAAATTCACACTCACTGTTGTTTCTTTTTCCTCCCCCTCCTTCCCTGCACAGCCCAGCAAAGCAAAGAGAAAACTCCTGCCACTCAGCAGCTTTCCCAAAGTTACGTGGTTTTATTGAAAGCCAGAGGGGATTCTAGAAAGGGCAGCACAATTCTGGTGGTAATGGAGATTTTCTTGGGACAGAAGGTCCCTTGGTCTGTGATCTGGATGCTGATGAGGTGTTAGGTGAGTGAGGTTTGTGGGGTGACAAGTAGCACAAGGTGACTGTAAGCATATGACAACAGAGACTGTTCAACACAGGGGACAGCGTGTTCTGTCTGTGGCAAACTGACAGACTCCAGGACAGGTGTAAATAAGAGCTGATGGCTGGTACATGCAGGCAGAACTAAAACATGTTATTCTACAGATGTACTGAGCTATTTCTCCCGGCTTATTTGGTGCTGCTCACTGCAAAATGTCTTGGCCTTGGAATGTTGAATTTTTCTAAAAACAGTTTTCTGAAAAAAAAGCACCACTCACCACCCTGCTATCTCTAACCATTTGCTGAAAGTTTTTTTTACTCAGTGTGTTCTAACCAAAGGCACAAATGTAAGTTATAGAAGAAAACAGCTGTGCAGTCACTCCTGTGGCTGGGAAAAGGTGCAGTGGGCTATGTGCTCTGTAACATTTCTATACATAGAGTGTTATTATATATGACCTAAATGCATCAAACACTGGGTTGTGTTCCAGCTCTTCCTGATTGCACTGGCCAGAAGCTGCTAATCAACACCTGCCAGGTTCAGGATTCTACACAGGCACCAGAGAAGAGCTGAGACCTCTCTGTCCCAGACAACCTGCAAGATCCCCTCAGATACTGAATCCTCCTCTCCCTACACTGATCCTAAACCATGCTCTTCTGAAGGTAACAAAATGACAAGAGGAGGACCAAACAGCCCTCCCAGAGTCAGTTGAAATCACTACTGAACATTATATTCTGCATTTGATCTCTAATGGGACAGGGAGCACTGGACAGCAACAAGTGGAATCATTACTGAGAGCTGGGGATCCTGCTAGGACTCATGAGCAACATATTTTGACTGTATAAAGGCATATAAAAATGGCAACATCTGTCCATCAGTTTCTCAATTACTGACATCTCCTGAAAGCTCTGCTCTTCTGATTCCCATTCACTTCTGTAATGGAGACAGCAAACCAAGCCCAGGACTTGGGGCTGCCTCCACACTTCCATCAAGTGTCCCAGTTAAATGTCAGCAAAGATCACCGAGGTGTAGTGACAGCTTTTTTTTACCATCTTCAAAATCCCTGAAAAAGTGTACCTATTAATACCTGGACATTTCACTCTCCTGAGAAGTATTACTAAGGTATCTTTTCAAAAGAAATTGTTACAGCACATAGGGATTCCTAATTCAACTCAGGCACAGCTATAGCAGAATTAAGCACTATGATACACTAAATAGAAATGACCTTGGGAAAAAAAAATGGTTGGCAATATACCAGAAGCACTTTACTTACACAAAATTCAGAGTAATGAAGGAAATTGCTGCTCAGTATCTATGACTTTTCATCTTGTAGGCTAACTGCAGTGGTGCAATTCCATTTGCTTATACAAATGTTAGGCGAGGAATAATAAATTTCCATCAGTTAAAACTTCATGCAATGAACTGGCCAAAAGCTTGGAATTTTTTTAAATTATCAAGTGTAATGACAGGATCCTAACACTACAAGTAGGATTTAAAACTGACTAGAAAGCAGGAGCCAACAGGTCAGTGCAGACTGTTCATGATGGGAGCGGTGGATGGCTGTTGGGAAATTCTTCATGCAAACTTTTTTTCATCAAGATTAGGAAAACCAAATGTTTTCACATTTTTATCCAAGTTAAGCACAACAAGAAGTAGATCAGCTTTTTAAAAGTATTTGAACTTTTAGCAACTTCCCTAGAGAAAATTACAGAGCAATAAACATACTTCTCCTGTGGATCCCTCAGAATAAATCAATCTATCTTCTCCCACATTATGAACTTGCACAGCAACTCAGGCTCTTGCTGAGGACCACCAGAAGTACTGCAGTAATCAGCAGGACACAAGGTAATGCTGGGATACACCCAGCAATCTCCAAAAGAAGCTGGACACAGAATTGGCCACAGCAGGCACATGGAACTGTGGAGCAAATGCATGCAACCAAAACAGCATCAGGTGCCATGGGCTTTAGATTAAATGTCAGTACAACTCTCCTCCCCATTCCTGTGCCCCACGACCCTTTGTGTTCAAAAGTCAACTCAATCCACATTACTGCATCCATTTGGAGTGAATGACACTGATTTTGACTCCAGTGAGGAGTTTTGATTTTGTCCCCAGTGAGGGACAGGACATCCTGTTTTCAGCCACTGTTGTTGCTCTTCTATTTTTAGGTTGGAGAAAACAAATTGCTTGATCCTGGCTGCTGCCTTCTCCACAGTGCATGCTTTCCATAGGTGACTCCTTCCCAAACATCCCAGGCCTTGCTGCCAGAACATCTATTGTCAGGATCCCTCCCAGCCAAGGAGGTAAGGAGATATTTCCCTCTGCATGCAGGCTGGTGTCTTTTTGCTCTAAAGCTGCCAACAAATAAACAAATAAATGAGCATTATTCAAGAGCATTCACGCATGAAATATTGGTCTGCTTCAGCCACTGACATCCCATAGCCACTGTGGGACACCATTCAAAAGACACCATTAGAGCACATGGGAACATGTGATGGATTTCCAGATGAAGAAAACGGTGCTGTCCTGAAAATCAACACTGTAGTCCAAAAGGACCAATAGTTGGGCTGCTTACGTTGATTCAGGAAAGGTCAGCACAGACTGAGCTGCTGCATTTTCCCTGGTGTGTTCACAGGGAAAACTTTCCTGCAAAGAACCTTTGATGTACACAACACTCCTAGTCAATGCAGCAGAAAGACAGTGTAGGTAGCCCAGCAAATCACTTGCCAGTAAACAATTTAATTAGAAGGCTATCCTCAGAGTAATGTCCTAGGAAAATGGCAGCCCAGAGCAAGAGAATATTGACAGCCCTGTGTGTGAGCAGGGAAGATGCTCTGGTGTGGGATTGGGGAGGGTACTTTGATTCTTTACCACCACCACTGACCCTTTGTACTTCCTACAGCAAGTCATTTACTGCCCTCTGCTTTTGTTGCCCCACCTGAGGCCATCAAAATTTAGCCACCTTACACAATTCTTGACTTTAAAAAGAAAACTCGCATCTAAATGGAAGATGTTATTTCTGTGACACAGAATTTGCTCTCTGCTATGTGCCTGCCCTTTTTAACCTTACAGCTCATGATGTGGCTTGAAGAGCAGGTAGAACACTACAAATAATTGTAGGTAACAGCACCTGCCTTTTGCTTCTTTGGAGTTGTTCTTAATGGGTTGATTTACCTTCACCAGTCGAATTGCATCTTTTTGATGAGGGACTCAGGGTGCACCTCAAAATTTTGAGGCAGTTGACACACAATGTCTGATGTCAAAGGCAATTGCTGTTGTTCACTGCAGAAGAGCAAACCTGGCTGGAACAACGGGACACCTGACAGTAATTTTCAGTGTCCAAGACAAATAGCTGGATACTGTGCAGCTGAATGGCTGGATGATAGATGGGCACTGTATAACAACAGCCATCACACAGCAGCTCAGAGAAGGGAACAGAAGCACCACATTCAGTTTTACAGCACCAAAGAAACCACCACTAAGCTGGACTTGTCCAAATGTCCTGAACAGCAAGTGCTGGATTGGCCACCGAGATACTTCAGACTGGCTAAAAGGGATTATATGAACTTCTGTCCAATGGATTGGGAACTCTTTATGTGTTTAAGCTTTATATGAAGGTAATGCTTGTGACTTCCAAGTTCCTTACTTCTCCTCCTGCTACACCAACAGCAAACAGATCACACAGGGACTTTAGCCCACACCACAGAAACCACGGCACAGCTTTTTTACCAGAACCCTTGGCACCACATCACCTTTGTGGAAGGACAAGAGAAGGACCACTGAGCTGGATGTTGTCATTCAAAGCCCTGCCAATACTTGTCACGTTCCTCATCAATACCAGAGGTAACCAGAGATGTCCAAACCAGCAGGCCAGCTGTTCAAAACGCTCCCTGCAGCAAAGCCATGGTGGGGCTGTCTCAGGTCTAGTAATTCCCATTAAGATTATCATAAAAACAAAAGATCAGGTTCAAGGTAACAGTATCCCTTTGGCACCTCCTATCTTAACATCCATTTAAACAAATACTGATACAACAGGCTCCACTGCCTGCCCTCCTTCCCCCCAAGGAGTGGTCAGGATTCAGCCCCAATCTTCTTTCAGTGTGCTCACAGTTTAACACATTGCTTTCCTCCTCCTTGTCTGTCTTATTCTTCTTAGAAGCTCTAATTCATGCTTTGGAAAAGGTTAAAGCAATCCCAAATGATATGAAATGAATTCATAAAGCTATTTAGGAGTTTGTTATTTGCTTTAAGTGGCAAGAAATGCAGACCCAGAAAAAGGAATTACAGTCACTGATGAATTAACAGTTGCCTTTAGGATAAGAAGGCTGAATCCCTGTGTCTGAACTCCCTATTACTGAACTCCAGAGATATAATAAATGTCTTGTTTGATGTCCCCAGCCCTCAATAAATCACAATATAGCAAGTCATTGCAGCCCTGTTTGTTAGAAGGAAGAGATGCTGACAGCTCAGTGAAGATAAGAAGCAAAATAACATTAAAAACAAATTCATGAAACACAAATATGGAAGGACCCAAGAATAGCTACAGCCCAGGAGTAAAATCATTTCAAAGACATCAAAAGAAGATCTTTAAACATAAGCAGTACTGTTACAATCAACAATGTGAAATGAACCTTCTCAGCTCTGACACTGCACATCAACCCCATGCCTTTGAAAAGATGTAATATTCACACTCACACAAATTACATGGGGCAGCCAAAGTACACCATCACAAAGTACCACTGAATAATGAAAAAAGGATGCATGGAAATAATAAACACAATTTATCTGATCGTGATGGTTACACTCAATTTAGTGCTACCACCAGCTGGTAATTGGTAAATGGATGTTTGAATCAACTCAAAATTCAGAGCAGCATGAAAACATTACCAGACACTTCATTAGGAAATGCAGTTTCTTTCCCTGCTTCTAGAAGTAAACAGCTTTTCTCAGCCTTTCAGAGATTTTAGTCCTAACTTGACCCTCTCAGGGCTCAGAAAAAGCCTGCTGTTTCTGAAGAAGTGGTTAGCTCATGTTTTCCGTGTCAGAGACTGGATATACCACCAGAAGATTTAAGCCCAAGCTTGTGATGCAGATTTGAGTTGAAGAAAACTCTTCTCACTCAGTTTCAGCTGCATGTTTTGATCTCACTGCATGGGAAGAAACAGGCAGTTTCATGGAGTCATTGCTCTGACCTGTTTCAGACCTGTGTGAATTGCACTCAGCAGCACACACTTCCCTCCTTGGACTACAAAGAACTAAAACTGATGAGCTCAGGTTCAGGTATCTGAGAATCATAAAGTGGAACAGATGAACTCTGTCCTAAAACACAGCACGTCATCTCTGGATTATAACCCTGTTTTCTCAGCACAAACCAGTGAACTACCTGAATATCCACTAAGGAATCAGGAATATCAAATGTGATGAATACCTTCCTCACAAAAGAGCTGACGTTTTCAGGAGGAGGAAAAATTGTAAAGTAAATTTTTCATAATACCCTTTGCTTCCAGGAAGATTTGCTCACATCTACCCCCACTCTGCTGCTCTTCCCAGAGCTGAAAAACCCAACAGAAAGGTCAACCAGAAACTGAGAGCTCTAGAGCAAAAGATGCTCATGTTGAGCAGCTGTGCCAGGCTGCCATATGTTGCCTTCCTAGTCAGCACTCACCATTCCCATGATGATAACAGAGATCATCTGGATTGAAGAAAATTAGTATCTGTTGTTAATTACGGTCGTGGACGCCTGGTAGAGTGCTGGCAGTACACAATATTGGTCCAAAAATTAGATTTCTTGGAGCTCATGAAACCAATATAGCACTTTGACCAAACTTTTGAGAGGATTCAAATGAAATGAAAACTTACTAAAAAAAAAAAAAAAAAAAAAGGTAGAGAAATCCAGAAGGATTACTTGCCTGTAGTCCAAAAGGAAAGGAAAATACAAACTAGAGCTAATCCCAGCAGAAGTGCAGTTAAATCATCATTTGACATGTAATACTTTTATTAGCATCATTTGGAAAAGAAAGGTTTCAGGTTAGGGACAGAAATTTTTAGGGACTTTATTTTCCTCATAAAAAAAAAAATATGCCTGTCATGAAAAAGTGTTTTATCAAAGCTGGTTCTTGGACAAACCTACTTTGGCTGAGCAACCCATATGAATCCTTCCTTTTAACAAAAAACAAAATCAAAACAAAAAACCCCAAACCAAATCCAAAAAGACCCAACCAACCAACCAAAAAACAACCATAAAAATATTAGTACTTAATTTTGAGTGTCTGGTTAGAGTGACAGTCAGGTTAAGAGTCTGGTTAGAGTTACAGACCATCCCTCAGATGGGGAGAAATCCCAAACAAGGAACACCAACCCCCCAGGTCAGAAAGTATCTGAATGGTCTCAGGGAGCTGCTGGTCTGCCTGATGATTTCTGGTGGTGGCTGGAACAGGTAAAAAGTGCCTGCAAAGAGGCAGCAACTCTTCCATATAATTTATTATTCAAGTGTAAAAGTTTAATGCACCTATTTGAACAATTAAAGTGTGCTCTCTAGAGCAAAATTTTCTTTTTGTCTCTGAAATCACAATGCCTCATGAATCACTAAGTGCTACAGCCAGGACCCAAACACGCATTTAATCAAAAGTTGCTTGTTGCTCTGTACACCCCCAGGAGCAAGAAATAGCTTTATTATTATAATAGACACAGTTAAAGAAAGATAAAATCAGGAACCTCACACAAAACTCACTGGGCTTCTGCTCACAGCTGGAAGTCTAATATGTTTAAGGGTAGCTGAGCTTTAATACAATTTTTAAAAGATTTTTGCAGTGCTGCTGTAAAAGCCTGTGGCACAAAAAATGATTGGAACAAGCAGACCTTCCCTTCAGAAAGAACTGAGTTGGCTGTGCTGAAGTTTACTTCATTTAATGTTTCAGGTGTTTATAACCTTTGCAGTTTAACTGATGGTTGTTCTGAGCTGTTGCCCAGTTACATTCAGCACGAGGAGAGGAAAGGGGAATCAATTTCAGTGTTACCTTCAGTTATTAACACTTTGGAGTATTTATGACCCAGGATCTCTAACTCACTGGATGGATTTAAATTGCTATACTGTGAAATACTTGCTTTCTTTGGCTCTAACTGTGAGCATACAGCCCAACCTGTGAAAAAGAAGGCAATGCTTTGTTGCAGTAATAAGCAGACAGGACTCAATTTCTTCATGCAGAAAAACTAATGTTTAATGTTAAGAATCCATTTTTATACATTTTTCAAAACCTTGTGTATAACTCTCATTCATTCATTACTTTCTTGCCACTTAATTGGTTAGAAACTACTTGGGTGTGTCCATGCTAAGATTCTTTCTTTCTCCAGGTGTTTACATATTTTCTTTGCATATATTTTTCATGGGACAGACTCCTTGTTTTTGCAGGTGTAAAAAGTTCTCTTACCAGAACAGGTTGCTGTGCTAATTGTTTCTCATTCCTCTGATTCTTTCTTATGGGAACTTACAGGCTAGCTGGTAACTCAGCAGGGCAAGCCCCGATTTTATAAGGCCTTTCTTTTATAAGATATTACCTGTATGCAAGAATTCTTGGCTTTGAAGAGTGACACCACTAAACTTGTCATCTGCTGGTATTAACAGTTTATTTTTCACTGCTCTTCTGCTACTACACAAACCACAATGGCAACTGCATCTACCAGTGTTATTTAACTCTGCTTTACTATTTCACTAGTTGGATCAATTTGAGAAGGCATAGGTAAAAAGACTGCATCTTGCCAAATACTGAGAACTGTATTTATTCTCAAAAATTACTATTTGTAGCAGAGTCACCCAAAAAGACTTCCCCTTTCCACTGAAAAGTCACATTTTGTCACAGCTAATCTTTTTCATTAAATTAACCATTTAATCAAAATATCCATGCCAACTTCTTAGGATCAAAGCAGAAGAAAAGTTTGGCAGAGTGAAAAGGGAAAATACCATACAGACAGAAAAGGACAAAGGAGAATTTTTACTACAGTTTCAAAGCAGTTTCTGCTTGAAGAGAAAGACAGAAGAGCTTTAATGTTCATGCCATCCACACAGCAGGCTGGCTCCAGCTGCCAGGCCTTGTTTGTAGCAATACTCCAGAACAAATTGTTCAATTGATAGTTCTGTAAAGCCATCCGGAGGATGTGAAAGTCAGGGAGGACGGCTCTTCCTTTCTCACAAGTTCCCATCAGGAGGAAAGATTCTCAAAGACAAATTAGATGCTAGATACATCTCTGTAATGACAGCTTTACTGAGGTTACATGATGGTAACTCATGCAAAACAGTGAAATGAAAAGACGCAGGAAAAAATCCTGTTAACCATGAAAAACTGCTAAAGCTACAAAAAGTCAGGAGTATAAGCTAACTTGCATTGTTACATATGTGCAACTTAAACATTTAAACCCTATTCTGACATAAAGAACTGCAACATCTTTAAAACTATGATTTTTTTAAAAAATAAACTGGAGAGTCTTTTTTCATCACTGTTATCTGACAGTGCAAGGTTCACATTTCTTCAGCAACTGTAGTAAAAGTACTCTTCTAAACCATAAATCAGATTAATGTAAAAATCAGCACGACAAAGATATGGGGTCTTAGAAAAATAAAACATCCTACTTGAAATATTTAGCATCACTCTGCTACTCAAAAGACACAAGTGTGATTTATGCTGGCAAATTAAACACAGCCAAGGAACATTCCCAGGTGCTGGAGCGCCATCAACTACGCCGTTAAATCGTAATCATGATCCACAGCACCATTTTGGCCATGGCCAGCTGTCAGTGAGCCAAGTAATGGCAGAGCACAGCTCAGGAATCAACACAGGGCAGAGAGCAGCCCATAAAGCAGCCCAGATGTGCTCACATCGTTGGCACAGTCAGGGAGCTGAGCAGGAACAGGCTGTGCCATGCAAGTGGGTCTCAGTGCCACAGAAGGGCTTTGAGCACGTTTAGTTTACAAGCATTGCTTCAACCACTCAGAACTGACATGGGAAGCAAAATGATGCATTTCAAAATTAATCTAAGGTTTGATACTACCCTTTAGGAGAGTCATCCAAGTCCGCAAAGTTAAATGGCATTTAGTTCATGTGTTGTAATTTGGCAGAAAGCAGCCTAAGCTTTCCAAACAACAGTTCAGCATTCTTCTGCTACTCCAAAGACAGTCCTTGGTTACATTCTCATCCATTTCAAACAGTACCACCATTGGTTTATCTTCATTAAAACCAAACAACTGCAGTTCTTCAGAGAAGTGTTGACTGCAAAGGTTCTTGGAGTACATAATTTCCAGATATATAGAAATAAAATGTTTATATCCTACCACTTGTGAAATATGTAACAATCTATCATGAAAGCTCCATTCTCCATTCCACAGCAATGGGGAATCCACAGCTTTTTGCTGAGGTGTGAAGGAAGAGTGCAAAAGAGGAGTGAGTTTAACAGTGCAGGGCTGGTTACTGAAGCTTGTCTGCTTTCACTTCCTTAATACTTCAATTTCAGGGTTGTCTACTCAAGATCTGAGCAACTCTGACCAGTCCCTGCATGATAAACTCAGGGCTAGGGAAGGAAACAAGCATAACATAACACAAAACATTCTCCTGGACTGGATTCTTTAATAACATTCCCCACGAGAGGTCACCAGGCTCCTTAAAGCCAGTGAGTTGTGAACAACACATCCATGAACTGCATGTTACAGGAAAACAGCCTGTAATCCCCCTATTAATCCTTGGCATCAGGGCACCACAGTGTAATTACAGACTGCAGCAGGATAATTTGAAAACTTTATTCCACAGGGCCATAATTAGATCCTGGTTGTAATCCTTTAATTGCCAATATCATCTAATGCATTACAGACACAGCACACAACTACACAAGGAAATGGGCTGAGAAGTTGTGCAAGAACCACAGCAAAAGCCACAGCAGAGCCAGGGATGCAGGCTGTCAAACAAGGAAGAATTAATAAACACCACAATATACAACCTAGGAACACCAGCATTTCTACTCTCACTCTGCAGATTTGTTGCGTAAGTAGTTGGTGTCCAAGAGCACCTGACTAGAAAAAAAATTGAAACTACTAATAAAATCTGTCCAGAATTGTCACTGATGTCATTCAACCACCAAGAAAAGAGCAGAACTAGATTTCTAGCAATTATTTCAAAGATGTTATGAGGATTTACACTGCAGTAGATGCTGACCCAGTCCAAAATGGAGTGAAACCACAACAGACCACACACACCAGAGAGCACACACCAGCTGTCAGCTCTGTGCTCCCCTGTGGGCCAGGGAGGTGCCCACCACCTCAGCAACACACCTTCAATTTTGTTTTAACTGATTCATACTGCAACTAACCCAACTACACCCTGCACCGAACTGCAGATTACCAGTATAGAATTACAAGCAATACAGGTTTACATTAAAAATATATTTCTCCTTCATACCACCTGTCAAAGGCCGTGAACAATTTTCCCATTGTAAAAGTGGCTGCAACTCTTGTCATGGCCCTACAGGGCGCTGAAAAAAAAAAAATAGCACAGCAAACTGCTGAAAATTTGCTTGAGAGGAACACAGCCTCCCAGTTAAACCATTCTGCTCCTTTATTTACTGATAGGAACACACGTAACAGGGCACCACTTCTTTAAATGCATCACAAACTCAAGATATACGGAGGCAATAATTCTCATAAATACCCTCTATTTACTGACTTTTCAAATCCACATCCACTCACTTTGTTTCCTATGCAGAGAAACACCTCCCCTGACTGGCAGCTCTGTCACTTCCTTGCCTGGATTAATCTGGAAGAGAAATTGAAAATGAGGGGGGGAAATTCCTTAATGATTAATTAATATTCATTAATAACACAAGAGACCATGGTTGTTGGGAAACGTAAAGTCTTTAATTTTTGAATAGTTTAAGCAATTGGGGACATGTAACAGGTTCCTGGAATCAGAAGTAAAGCAGCACTCATCCTCAAACTAGGCCTAAGTAAGAAACAACTACTAATAACATAACCCTGTTATATTCACCAGCTGAACTCAAAGAGGACTTAAAAGGAAATAGCACTTGAAAAGCAGAAGAGGTGACAGGAAGCTTATTTACAGGTGCTTATATGAACCCCATGCCTCTCCCCAGTATGACATGCTTTTATTGTAATATATTGGTGAAAATACAAAATCTCATTTAAACCTCTAGAAGGGTTACCAAATTCTCCTTCTTTTTCCCAATTTCACCCGACGGAAAGTTGAAAAATAATCCCAATGTCCTGATTTAGCTTGACCTCTACCTCAGCAATAGCTGAAGGCAGCAGATGCATTCTCAGGCTCCTCCAGAGCCTTTCACCTGCCCAGGAGAGAGCTGCAAGGCACAAATGCCACCTCTACAAGCACTGCTTAGAGGGGACAAAAAACCTCCTTCTTGAACAATGTGACAAGAGCTGGCACAGCTGAGAAAGCTGCTGAGAGCTCTGTGCTGTGAGATCACACCACGGCAGCTCCAAGTGTCCCCAGGCACACGGCAACAGCTGTGCCAGCTCACCCTTACCTTGCACCAGGGAAAGCTGCAGCTCACAGGAGTTCATCTTCCATAAAAAACAGACAGGAAGCGTAACAGATTGGCACAGTGAGAGCCAAGCTCTGAACACACAAGCAGGACCACACAGGTTGTTCATTTAAACATCATCAAGGTAAAAAATTTCGGGTTGTTTGGAAGCCAAAGCAGTAGAGCAGCATTCGTCAACATTTTCCTTGGGTGTAGTGCAGGAAGTGCAGCAGCCCCTCCTGAGCTCCCCCAGTGTGCTCCACCAACAGTGCCCCAGAGACCAAAATCAGGGTGGATTCTTTTTTTTTTTCCCTCAAACTTTGAGCCTTTAAGAATTAAATGCAGCATCTGTACATCATATCATAGAATTTTATTAACTGAATGGAGAAAGCATTACCAAAGGATGAATGAAACAACTGCTTTTAAATGCATACATGCTAGGATGAGATAACTTATCCTCAAAATGTAATTATACTACTTTTGAAACCCAAGTGATCATGTCAGACATGTGCACCTAAGGATTTGTCACTTTTGTCAGAGCACACACACTGGTGCTAAGGTATTGTCTACGAGGCAGTGCCCAGGAAAAGGTCATGAAAAAGCACTAAGGAACAAAGCAACCTGCCTGAAGAAGTGCAGCAGGGACAAGGCTGACATGGCAAGTAGCTGTAATAAATGGAAAAGAACACAGAATAGTATCAATATCAATAGAGGATCAATAATGCCAGAGAAATCTTTTCCACTGACTTTGGATCAGGCCCTGGATATTGACAGAGGAATCATCAGAGGTGAAACAGCAAGAACAAAAGTGACCACAAAAGCAAGACATGAATACATACCCTTTTGATTCTTTCTTCTATCACATATCAACTTGCAGAAAAGAAACCTAAGAAGCTGGAAAGTTATACAAACACTCCCCTTCACTACTTTGTTTCTCTTTACCTTTTGCAAAAATGCTCTTGCTGGAGACCAGTGTATGAAAGTGAGGTAAGTGGCTATTTCGGTTTTACCTGAGCTTTCATTTTCTGTAACTACCTGAAGGCACCACACAGCATTTCTTAATATCACACAACACTTTCCAATTAGGCTGAAGGTTGCATATCTCTGCTCAGTATCCCTGGTGGTTTTTAATAGGGTTTTTGCTTGTTCCATCTCCAACACTTGTTTGACACAACAGCAATTTTTCCAGATGAGAGAGAACCCAGCAATCATAAAGAATGAATTATTTACAGAAAGATCAGTACTCCAGTACAAGTCAAGACTTCACTAATTGTAGTTAATTGAAAGTACCACACTAAATATATACACAGTGCTCTTCTGGTTCATAAAAGCTTCAAGTGTTTTTAAATACTACTGAAAAAAGAGGGAAATACTCAGAAGATTTACAGCAGGAAACAATACCTTCGAGTTCTAGAGCAGTGACTCAAATCAAATTTAAATCACATCATCTGCTAACTGGCTGAAGAGGGCAGGTAATCCCTTTTTCTGATGGGCACACGTATCATAAATCTTCAACAAAGTCAAAATCCCTAATTATAGCTATCAGATCAGGCTGAACTTCTTGCTGCAGTTTAGCTTACCTGAGCTCTGTCTCCATGCAGGGCCTCCAACTGAGCCATGCTGATTTAGATCTCTGAAGAGCTTTTAAAAAGACGTCCAAGGCATTCTACAAACCAATTAAGAAAACCCAAACAAACAAACCTAGAGAAATGAACAAACCAGAAGACCCAACTTTACAGGACTCATTTAGAAAACAGCAGCAAAGCTCAAGTCCAGTTTAGGTCCAGGTTCATTGTTCTATTCATAAACTTGCAGTTTTCACAAGCATGGTGAAGCACTCCAACAGATCATTGTGTTGAGGAAAACAGGGGTGGAGTAAAGTTGACTGCAAGATTAACACTTCAAATCATCTCACAGAAGTGTTCTGTGGACACCAGGGACAAAGCAGAATCACAACCCCTTCAATAGCTGTAAGGGCAGCAAACTTTTACCCTCATCAAGCTCCAAAAATTTATTATGTTTAGAGAGAGCACTCCTCAGGAAACCATGCTGGTGTCTAAGTGCCTGGAACTGGACTAGGTACCCACTGGCCCTTCTTGTTTATGAGTCTTGGCTTCAATTTCTTCCTCTGTCCAAAAGAATTCAAAGCCAAAATGCTCCTTCTTAGGTTAGCACCCAAAACACAAGCTGAAGGAATCATTTACAATGTCACTGTGGCTGCTCATTAACTATTTGCAACAAATCTATAAAATATAACTGAAAAGGCAAGCTTACCTGCCCTGAAACTCAAATTATCCCAACAGCAGAAAGACAGAAGGGGTTAATAACTCACATTTGCATTGGTCCCCTGACTAATCTCACCTTGGATTTTTTTCAGCCCAATGACTATTTTAGACTCACAGGGTCTGTAATGTGGCAGGCAGTTCAGCCTTCCAAAAACTTGAAGAAGAGGGAAATTCAGCTTCAGATCATTCAAACATCCTTAACATTACTATCTATATTTTTTCATGAAGAGCAAACACGAGCACATTGCCTGGTTTGTTTTCAATGCAAGCCTTGCTCACTTTCTGAAAACTCCTTTTTTTTCCAAGACAAAATGGGTGCCCATGTCTTGCGTCAGAAGTTTTTATCAAAAAATTACCTGCCTCCTGCAAATTTCAAAATGCCTTAATGCCTGGCTAGAGCTGTTTGCAAGCCACATGTAACTTCCCATGCTACTTACCAAGCATTCCCTATTTTGTAGCACATGTGTACAAAATGAGTGTGCTGGTGCCTCAGCAGCCACTTCCTCAGTGCATGAAATGTGTAATTCTTCCTCTGAAGCCTGACTTCATCCATGCTGTGCTCATGGCTCTGGATTCTGCTGTACAGGCCAAAATTCTAAGTAGGCAGCAGCGCAATGAAAAACTTGAAATGTAGATTTAAAAACAGACAAGCTGATGTGATGCTGGAATGAACTGAAACAGTACACATTGTAATAGAATATCCATTTCTTAGTGAGAGGATTGAGCAAATTATGCTTCAATGTTTCTCCCCTGAGTGCTGAGCTTGAAGTTCAAAAACCATTCAGAAGCAGGGCTGAGTCCTGCAGTTGCATTTTGTTCAATTTTTAACTAGTGCTGAATAAATAATTGCTTGGTATCAATCCCTCCATGCAAGCTAAAATCAAAATGATTTGTCTTACAAAATTCTTATTGGGCTACACAAACTGTATAAAACCTTTGCTGACAGAGATAGGATAAATAACAGCAAGGACAGGGCAAGCAAGATTTCCTACTCTATTAGATTTAAACCACAGAAGAACAAAAGCTCTGTCCATAACACAGGAACACGTACCCATCATAACAGAATTGTTAAGCCCTGGAACACCTTGCCCACGTGCTCAGGAACCTCCATTCACAGAAACTTGACTGGTCCTGAGCAAACAGAGAGGATTTTGAAGTGAGCCCTGCACTAAACAAGAGTCTGGACCAGAAATCTCCAGAGGTTCCTCTATACTCAGTGTATGTGATCCCACTCAGACTGACACACAAATGCAAAGCCAACCCCACGAGATGAAGTGGGGGAGTAAATCAGGACTACCACAAACATTCATAAAGATGTTAACAGCTTTTATTTCACTGGTGCAAGGCCCAAGTGTCATCCACCACTCACCAACAGCAAAACAAAACATCATCTCTTAAAAAAAAACTTCAGAAAATTCAAAACAAAGGAACAGTGGCTATAATAAACTTCATACAATACTGTAAATCATTTTGTATCATCCAAACATGAACAGTTCCATTTCTATCATACATGGCTTATTTTTTCCCCAAAAAATATACCAGCACTACTCCAATACATGCCTCACACCTGGAAATGTGTAACACCATTCCATGACATTGACAGCTGTTCATGCTTAGAACTAGTCATCAACTCACCCTAGCAATATCATAAAATACAAAATGATATGAAAACCTACATTTACAAAGTACTGTCCCAATCCTGCAATCTATTCCATTTGGGTAGGTACCTGTATCTCTTCCAACTCCCCTAAAGGCAATGTGGTATTTAGTGCTCCATTGCTAAAGGTTTGATTGCAAACTCAGGGCACAAGTGGGAAAGTTTAGATCTTTCCACAAGCAGTAAAACACTGCCTTATCCTTCTAGATTCAGTTTCAGTAGTATTTGCACAACCTCCTAAACTGAGACTTACCTATTTTCAATTACCTCACATTTAGGAAGAAAGAAGGAAAGGCTCTGAGTGGCCAGCAGAGAAATGGCTCGTACTGAAATGACTTGGGGCTGAAAGCTGTGCTTTAGTGCACAATAGTGATCCAAATGCCTCAGAGTTAACCACATCTTGCTTCAGTATTTACAGTCTCTGCTGCCTTCCTCTGCACTGCATGAGCTTCCTCGCCAGCACGATATCAGAGATCTTATTTCCATTGGATGAACATTATGACATGACTCCAAAAACGGGATTATGACGACAAATACTAGGGCCATACTCTTCATAGTCCTTCTTGGTGTGACATACTTGGAAAAACTCTGGCTATAAAAATATAAAACAAATCCCCCCCAAAAGCATAAGAACATAAGTAAAAAATCCCAACAAATAAATAACATCTTGGCATTTCTGCACTGCAGCTTTACAACATTCTATTGTATTTTGAAATATAATAAAATGAGATCAACTAACCAAGAGAAGTTTGTCTGGTCATAAGACTGCTTTTAAGCACAGCAGTAAGAAATCCCACTTGGCAGACAGCAATTGCTCCCATTTTCCTGTACTTGCTTCTCTTTTGCATTTAAGACCATTGATTTGGATTATATATTGCAGATGTCCTAACTAATCTCTAGTGCTGATTTAAAGAATAAAGGCACTATATTGGAACTATCATATCAAAACTACTTCAGAATTATGTCAACTCATTATATCCTTACTTCCATTTGCCCTGTACAAATTTTACTGAGATAAAACTTGGGTATAGATTCCAGAATGTGACACAGTTTAGGCTATCACAACGAAAAAGTTTAGAATTTAGTACTCAGATCAAATACACCGAGAATTCAATATGCAATAAAAATTAAGAATAACTCTGATGAAGACTTACTGTTGAAGCCAGCATGGAACCTCCAAACCAAACTGCGTAACGCTGCATGTGATGTGTTATCACTTGAACTTCCACTGGTTTGGGCTAAGGAAAACAGTTCATATTTAGTTGGTTTTCAAACTTAACATGGTCAGAACCAGGCACCTTCAACCCTCCATTCACCTCACTTATTACTCAGATATGCTCCCCCTAGGAGACAAAGTCATTAAACTCTTCATGATAATTATGATGAAGGACACAAAGTTAAATCCCTCTTGGCCTACTGCTCACACATCTCCTAGAATGAAAACCAGAACTGCTCACAGTAATTTTAAGATTCCGGTAAAGATGTCTTATACTGCAAGGCTACCAGTGCTTTTAACAACATGTAAACATATCCTACTGACTTTACAGCCCATTTTCACTAGTGAGGTGAGAAATTTCAACTTGATTTCTGTCATTAGTCATGTAATAAATGCACTTGAAACACACACTCACTTTTATCCGACCACCACTGAGCTCCTCACTGAGCCGCAGTCTCGCATCCACCACTCTCTTCAAATCCCTTTGCAGTCGTCGTCCAAAGTCCCTGAACATCGTGGATCCTCCTGAGAGAACCACGTTCTGGTAAGAAATTAAACACACATTCTGTAAATCCATCTTCAAGCAAGTTTCCCAACAGCCAACACTGCAAAGGTGACTATTTGAATTTCAACATGATTAGGAAGCTGACAAGGCAGGTAGAACACTTTCAGCACCCCCCAAATCACAGGAAGTTCATGGCTCCCCTACTTTTCTCCTTTAAATACATTTACGTAGAATGGGCTATTACAAAGGAGGATTCCATTAAAACCATGAGCTAGTACTCTTCATACACAAAGCAGTAGAAATAAGATACTACATCAAGAAGTTTCTCTAGGGATGTTCACAGCAAGCATTTTAGCCCTGACACTAAATAAGGCTCAAGTCTCATCACATTACATAGCTACAAAAGCTACAAAATTATCTAGAAACTCAATTTTCTTTTTTTAATTTCCATAGTTCCTCAAAAAGGCACCATACCTTCACAGAGAACTGCAGCACAGAGGAAGGTATGATGCTTCTTCCTTTGCTAGTCTGGTATTACTCAGTTTTCAGAGCAGAACCAAATGCCTCTCAGCCTGGACTTGTACTTGGATTCTAAACAGACATTTTAGAATTTCCCATTCCTAATTCTGATAACGTTGCAGCATCCCAGACTAACTCAGAGGTAATTTCAAAGGGGGGGGATGCAAAACAGGACCCCTAGAACATAACATCGGTGGCAGCAAAAATGCAATTCATGATCAGAAATAAGAACTCAATGTGACAAAACACCACATGTGCCTTTGCACAGTGCTAAAACCACGCACGTGCCTTTGGCACATGCCCACAAGGAACTTGGATCAGGAGCTCATTGTGCACAGGTCCAAGGATTATCTCTCAGGAACATATTTTGACATTGCAGGCCAAGACTGTGCACATAATGAAAGAATCCCTGACCCACTGTTTTCAGCCTGCACATGGACCTGAAGACTCAAAGACATGCATAATAAGTGTTCACACTTGCAGGGTGCAGAAATGCTTGGATTTTAAGCCACAGATAACAAGGGAAATCTTGTTTGTACCTTGTAATGCGAGAAGAAAGCTGTTTGTTTTTCATGAGAAAAAAAATCCCTGTACATCATAAAAACCATTACAGTAGGAAAAACTCATTTCTTCACAGCTTCAGATTATCTACAGTATAAAAGAATGCATAACAAGGCAGGTGTGCTTTCAAGAAAAGAAGCACAAGTCCCAGTATCATTACTGAAACATTTCCAAAAGGAAAAGAGGAGGACAGAAAAGAGGAAAGGAGACAGAAATCACAGCTGATTTTAAAGTTAAAGCAGGTGAGAGGATTCCCCCTACTCTCCCCATACACAAGAACATCTCTTCCCCTACATCAAAGTGGTCATACACTCCACTTGGGAAAAGGAAATTGCTAATGGGCAAAAAAAGACAACAACCAACCTGAGTGATGAAATAGCAATTAAAAAGATGTCATCAGAAAATATTACCTGGACATAATGAAGTTGGCAAAGAAAGCAAAAGCAATAATTCTTTTCAAAGCAAATTAAACTTCAAGCATACTCCATAAAGTGGACAATGCTCCTACTAAAAATAGATTCCAGAATAAACTCAATAATAATGTTTTGAATACATCCAAGACCAATTCATGTAACTACAGAGTCAGCAGCATCATTGGGAGGATCTTTCCATCATTTCAGGGTTAGAGGCCAAGAAGTTACATCTTCTTCAAATTATGATTATTCAAGTACTTCGACACACCAAAATCAGTTCAACAATAACACTGCCCAAGGAGAACAGAAGCACCAAGGTACAAATGTTGAAAAGATGAGTCACCTCATCATCACATATCTGGAACAGCCAGGCTAAGCAGAATTCTGGATAGAAGTAACTGGGTGACACCAACTGCATTTAAAAGATGTTTTATTATACAGTACAGTTCTCCTGCTCCCTGCACTATTGTCAGCACCAGACCAAATCCATGCTCTTTAGTAGAAGACTTGTCAGACAGCCTTCAGCAAGTTCTCAGCTCAGCAAGTCAGGTCAGAAGCCAGATAATCCTCACTTACAATGAAAGCAGAA